CTGTATTCGTAAACAGAACATATTTCACAGACCAACAGTTTGAATGTTCTGTAATAGAGGCCAAAATCAACCTTTAACTTTAGACGGAACGAAACAACGACACGTGTGAAGTGACTACATTTGTTTCAAACAAGATCGTCTCAAAGTTAATGACAAAGGCGGTCATGAAGCGCTAAGACCCGAAGCGAAGAGGGTGGATATGGGACAGAAAGTGTGAGGATGTGGCCTGAACTCATATGGCTGTGGGCATGCGTGATCAATTCCTTAAAACAAACGAAGACACAGTATTTGGGTGATAATCTCGAAGATGGCTTAGGCGACCATGTAGCACGCAAGACCCGACGGGAGGAGGCCAATTTGATGGATGGATGGTGAGAATGTGGCTTGGATTCATTTGGCTGAGATTATGATTCGACGGTGGCTACTGTGAACACGACAATGGACCTCTGAGGTCCATAAAGGGTAAATAAATTTTTGGGTAGCTCAACTCTATGGAGTCAGAAGAAACGAATTTGAAATGTGCGTTAAACCCGCGACCCTAACCTGCTCCGAGTTCATATCATGCAACGTCTACAGCCTCCTTTATGACCACAGAAACGACTGGCTTCGGATATATGAGTGGTCAAATCGCAATAAAGCTGTAAGGCTAAACAAATGACATTGCGAGGTAACAGTTGCACTCGACTGGATACGGTAACATTTGAACAGATTTTAACAAAACCACATCAAGTTTAATCTTCGGAAGAAATCTAGTCACGACGAAAACCGTACGGCAACGTGTTTCATTTCAGCTTCACGATAAACTCGGTCACTCTGACAATTACTTATGCCGTTCGTCTCAGCATCCCACCCAAAGTAGCGTGGGATCGTTCACCGGGGACAAGACTGCCGTAGTGTGACACTGATCTTCTTTATATGGCCAATCGTGTAAATCAGTTGTTTCCACGTGGACTGTACCGACACTAGGGGGAGCGAAAAGGCCAAGGGCAGCTGGGGGCACTCTTGATGGGCCCCTCTGAGTGCGTTGTTCGCTCATTTACGAGTGAAGTTACTTCAGACAAGACACTGGGAAACTGATGTAATTTCATCTAGCCCATCCGTCGCATTAAAATGTAGTAAGGGTGAGGTATCTTATTTTATTATTATATTCCTTAGTGGGTTGTGCAAAACGCTATTCTGAGCAACGCTTTTTTGTTAGGCAGGTAAGGGGGCAGTGATGGGACCAAAGGGGGTGGTGGCCCGAAAAAATTTGGGAACCACTCGTCTAAATGCATGTCATTGCAATGTGATGCTAAGCACTGAGATAAATTTTGAATGTTGCCAGGTGTGTTCAGGCGCGGAAAACTATGGCCCCCGTCATTCCTGCAACACGTTAGCCTACAGAGTCAGACAATTTGCCGCATACGCAAGGCGAACTGCGTTCTACGTTATGTGGGTTCGAAGCACTTAAACCAAATGATCTGATGGCCGGGCTGCGCCCAATTGCGGATACCAATTAGGGAAAAATGGGGTACTTTTCTAAAGCCAGTTTAGTCCCTTTCATGACATCCTGCAATTTTCGATTACGAAAAGTTATTACGTACTTCCAAACACAGATGGCAGCATATTTCTCAATTAGCGGGAAACTTATTCGAAACGCTTCTTTAGTTTAACGGCACTTTCTCAACTGCACAGTTCATATGGCGTCGAATGGGAGAACGATGCCTGTGAAGAAGGAACTTGGAAGGAAACGGTCGTAGTCTAGGTACCTAAGCATCTGACTGTAATGGCTGAAGAAAATCATAAAACTCTCTACCGTCCGCAAAATGTGGTCACCAGCTCCAAACGGTACAACGTCACACTTGGTCCATACTTAATGCGGTGGTTAAGCCAAGTCAGTGCTCACTTCTGTGAAATGCTTGGAACATAAAACTTCTATTCATCAAATTTAGTTGCAAAACGAATATGTGACACAATGTATATAGCGTAGCTGATTCAAAACACCTTGCAAAATGCGTGTTCCCGTTCGTTCGTCTGCCGAAACTTTCAGATCCGAAATCAAAGCTTGCACATAGCACTGCATACAATACATTTGCGGAAATAACAGCGCCTGCTCATTTTATATTCCCACAATTAGACCTTTTCTGGGTCACTGCTCAACTGATGATTACAGTAGCCTATCATGCTGATGAAATAAGAATACTACTGATACATGTCTATGGTTATTACACGTTATGAATTGCTGCTGGACTTCTCGTAAACAGAATGCACATATTGCCCCGATTAAAATCTCTGGTACTCCGCGTATACAACTAACACGTGTCAATCTTCATTGTTCGCAAGCAGAAGCACCCGTTCCTCGCACGTGATATGGTTACTTTCGTTACAACATATGTAAAGCTGTCCCCGTGCTCAACTAATCAAGCACTATGCCATGAAGGCGTATGCAGGAGAGGATGTATAAATACACGTTTTCTTGACCTCGGCACTAATTGGAGGTGAGTGGTCAACTTCACGCACCGGCCGCTTTACCCCCGGGGAAAGAGCGCCCGGTACCAATTGGATAGGAGGTTGAGTGGGTCCCAGAGCCGGTCTGGACGAAGTGGAGAAAATTCTTTGCCCTACCGGTACTAGAACTCCGACCCCTCGGTCGCTCAGCCCGTAGCCAGTCGCTATGCCGACAGTACTATCCCGGCTCCTAGCGACATTTCCCCCCCCCCCTTGGCACTACAGCCCCAGTGGGCCTAGGCCTACTTCCATGAACTTCTCCGTTCACTTCGGTTTTTCTAGATCTTAGACATACGGTAGGACTCCTTGGGCGGGTGATAAGCTCGTCGCAAGGCCTCTACCTGTACACAAACACAGAAAAACGCACACAAACATCCATGCCCTGAGTGGGATTCGAACCCACGATCCCGGCTTCCGAGCAAGCAAAAACAGTGCACGCCTTAGACCGCTCGACTACCGTGACCGGCAATGACAACATACGAGTATAGCGCCTTTCAAATAAAACTCTGAAGAAAGAATGACATTAAAATTGAAGAATCTTACGTAATTAAAAAGGATTGGAAATTAGGACGTGAATCATATCTGAACACTGTTAGGCTACGCTTGCACATCGCCTTAACTGCCGTGGGTACCGTATGTATATCTCGGCACGAGAAGGTGGTAAATTTCATAAATCTGTTCTCCATTATATCCGAGGTAAGAAATTCGACAAATACATCTATGAAGGCAATATTATCCCTGTTTACGATATTTAATCACTTAGCTATGAAACTGTGAGGGGAAGTGGAGATATGGCTCCACACGTGCTTAATTGCGGCACTAGATGGGGGTGTGTGGGAAGCATCACGCCCCAGCCGCTTTATCACCGAGGATGGAGCCCCCAGTACCCTCTCAAAGGAACGTGCGTGGAACCCAGAGCCGGTGTGGTCACTGTAGAGAAGAGAAAAACTCTCGTCTCTGTTGGCAATCTAACCCCAGATTCTTCGGCTGTCCGGCCCACAGCCCAGTCGCTATATCGCCACAGTCATCCAGACTCCTTGTATACAGGGTAAATAGTTCAGAAAATTTGAGCACCACTCCAAAAACTGCCTGGAAACAATGTGCCCCCACTTCCAGTCCTGCAATCAGATTACAAAATAAACACCAATGATGCGTCATATTAAACCACCACCTGCCATATGACTCGCGTAAACGGTGATCCAAAGACAGCTTCACGCTCATGTATCATCTACTGATGTTTGTGACGCAAAATATAGCTACTTTAGGTCTGATTTAATATAAAGGCGGTAAAATAATTGATACGTTTTAAATCTCAAAGAAAAGAAAACGCAAGCGATGGTCTACTTGTGCCATCAGAACTGATGTTGACAACTGCTGAAGAATTTATCAAAAAACAGCACAAAACAAACTACGAAGAACTCTGGGGCATAACACTATATAGTCGGCTGAAAGTTAACAGACGTTTCGGAGGAACATGTAGCCTCAATCTTCAGCGTCGAAAAATAAGCCAAACAACCAGCGTGAAGCAGGTAACAAGTAGAACTCTGGTTTCTTGCCTGGCTTATTCTTCGACCCTGAAGATGGAGGCGACATGTTCCTCCGAAACGTCGGTTGACTTTCAACGGGCTACACGGTGTTATATCCCAGATGATAAGTCTTCGTGACCACTGCTTTGAGAACCTCAATTCCTACGAAACAAATTATGTTTGTAGCGAGGTCTCTTACAAACTCCGTTCTCCTGCATTCACTGAAGAAGGGCAGTATATCAGGGCTGGATCAAAGAAAGGGGTAGCGGCTGTAATGCATTATAATACTGCAATAATCTATGTCAGAACAACCGAAACTGGATCCAAACACTCTGAAAACACATTCTACACTATTGTTTGAAATGATAATTTTTTTAAACTATTTCGTATGCTCATCCTTTTCATCTGAGACTCCACTGACATTTCACAACCCCAATTTTTTTTGTATTTTTTATCCCTGTCTACGAAATGCTGTTTGTCAAACCTAAAGATCGTTATGACTGGTTGAGATATTCCAATGTTTGTACTGGGTGCGCATCGGGCTCCTCCTCCCAACGCGAATCAAAATCATCCCTCTCAAACACGTGATAAAGTGAGTAACCAATGTGGGTGCGCGGCAGGCGGCGGTTAACGAGTTCATCATAAATATCTTCATTTCTCTTCCTCCCCTTTACTTCCCTTCCGCAACCATCTGAAACAAATGTCATGTATATGTTGCACTGCCCAGTACAACGTGAAAGTACATCCGAACACTTGTGATTCCGTACGCTATCAGATATGGCGCAGCTTACGTGGATTATTGTTAATTTGAAGTTTGGTGACAGAAACGTCAGCAATCACAATGGGTTCATACATTAGTTACAACACATCGCAGGGTTAAAAAGGTACAAACCTCACGTAACTCCATTCATTTAATATTAGTGTTTAATCGTTTACTTACGCGAACAGCGTAATTGCGCAGACAATGGACTCTACACCCGGCCGTGTCCCAATTAACTAGTTCCATAACAATAGGACTGAGAAGTCTTAAATACTGTTCATAGTGATCAGTGACCACAAACACAACAATGGAAATCAGTTATGTGATGAGGTGAATTCTTGAGTGCCATTTCTACCGAATACTTTCTGTGTTCTTGGTGATAAATGTGACCAGAATGTATTCCTTGTACCGCGCCTGGCTAATGAGAGATGCTGTGGCCGCTGCTACCCTAGCCTCGCCACCTGATGTCATCATCAACGTCGGCGGTAACAGTGGTACGTCACCGCCGAGGCCTGCTTCTACTCATCAGTTCGCGGCACATCGCGCCGTCTTAGCGTCTCACAGCGGCTACCTCAAGGCCCTACTTACTGCAGCAGCTTCTGGAACCTCCAACACTGTCACAATTGCTGTCCCTAACGTCAGCCCTGAAGCTTTCGCCCCGCTCCTCACTTTCATGTACACTGGATATCTAGACATAACGCACGAGAATATCTATGGTGTTCTCTTAGCAACACACTTACTTCACATGCCGAGAGCTTTGGATCTCTGCAGGACCTTTCTTGTTCAAAATCAACAACCACAAACCCAATCCTCGCTTTCCAGGCACCTCCCAACTCCCACCGCCCTCCCGACGTTGGTGAAACCTATTCCTAGTAGGAAAATGTTACCAGTTCTGTTAGGTCTTGGAAGCTTACAGCCACCACCACCCCCACCAGCCCCTTTCTGGCCACCTCCAACATATCATACACTGCCCACGCCTCAACCACCTCAACTAATGCTCCCATCAGCAGACAACTCACCTTTCAGATATGTTCTCCCAACATCAGCTCCTCTAGACATAGAAAGTAGCCATCAGAACCATGAACCATTGAAGTCACTGCAACCTCCACCACCTGACATCCCTACCCGTCCCCACACACCACAGATAACCGGAAACAACACGAGACGACGCCCAAAATCACCACTTGCCATCCCATCAACATCAACTGGTCACAAAAATATATTTCTTCGTGCGGCATCTCCAGCAACACCATCCAGTGTATCGCCTTGTCTTTCTGGCACTTCATTCTCTTCAGAGGATCACAATGTGGTGGACATCGCCCCCAGAGATAAACATAAATCAAAAAACCAACTGAGTCAACATCAACAACAGCTACCTCACAAGAAACATCAACAACCTTCTAAAGCATCATCCTGCAAGAAGCAACAAACCAGCGACACTAGCATCCATGGAACTGCAAACAGCAACAACAGCAGCAGCAGTAAAGTTATCATTGATGTGGCATGCTGTGATGGTCCTGTGCGTTTTCATCGAGTCCTCAATGACAATTACGGACTTACACTTGATGATATCCTTGCTGATGGTCCTGCCAAAGAGAAAGCCTCAAGGCATGATACAACACACGAACCACCTTTCCAAAATAACCAGGAAGCGGCATGTGTTTCACACATTCACAAACCTGCAACTTCAAGCTCCAATTTTTCATATTCACAACCAGAAGTCAAAGATGAAGACACAGAAAATGAGCCCACAAATCAACAATCAATGGCAACTGAAGTCAATGATGAACATATAAAAGGTGGAACAGAGCAAAACACATTGACAAAACAGCCAGTAATGAGTCACATTTGTGAAAGCAGCGGTGCTCAGGAAGCAGAAACAAGTAACTTATCTGAGCATCCAGCCACTGACAGAGGTGACTCCAACAAAGAAGACAGTTCTGCACCAAACCTCAGTGATGGAAATACATCCTCTTCTTCGGCCTCCATAACAAGTGAGAAAATCAGTGGCAGCCTAGAGACTGTGTACACTTGCTTCTACTGCAACCATACATTCAAAAGCCATTACTGCTATCAGAAACATGCTCGCCGTCACATCAATCCAGTAACAATTGACCTTTCAAGACTAGCTGAGAGACTTGGGAGTAATAAAAGTGTAGCTGTGTGTAAAATTCTTGGCTCTGAAAAAGATAAAGTGAATGGAAGTGGCAGTGTACGTCGAGAAGTGCGTCTTCTTGATATGAATGTACAGTACTACCCATGCAAAACCTGTGGCTCCAAATTCCCAAGTTATTATTTTGTTCATAAACATCGAAAAATGTGTCATGCCAATGAAGAGACTGAATCCCTTGTAGGAAGTGAGGAGTCGCATTCACAATCACAGACAGCGACATCAGTGTGAAATCTGATAATGACTAAATTAACTACTGTAACATCCAAAACATCTTAATTCTGCTGTTCCAAACTACATTCCCATTCCAGCAAACTGCTGTGATGTAAGTGCTACAGAGAACTTATCCGTCAATAATTTTAATTAAACTTTCACCATAAACACAGAATATTACCTAGGCTACGAGTGACACAACTGCAACTATTCACCAGAATTAGTGACAAAAATATTAACTTAAATATGGTGATGATTACAAATTTTTCATTTCTATTTGCTCAACAATATTGGTTTTGAGTACTGTATATGTATTACTACATGCCCATGCTTTGTAAAACTGGTGATATGTGAAGCTGATATGGTCAACATGATCCCTTTAGCTCAACAATAAAAACGAACCCGCAATCAATTTGTGATATAAAGTTACTTATTACCGTATAAAAATCTCAGTTCACTCAGCATGCTTCTCAAGCACTGAACTGTGATTATGTAACCATCTGAACATGGTCGGAATTGGCACTCAAATGTTCCCTTATCACCATACACAGAAACCTTCAGTCAAACAATCAATGAATCACTACAAAACTAAGAATCAGAGACACAATCCTAACAGGTTGAAATAACCTGATGACAAGACCACACTCGTACTGTAAACGCACAGATCCTCTTCCCTCAATTCCTCCTATATGCCTTCATTCAAATACCTCTCTAAACACAGGAAAGGATAACCTCCAATCCTTTCAACAAAACACTAAACAAGTTCTGGGAAGAACTAATCACCTACTCTCCTTTGATATGACATGGACTGCACAGAAAACATGTCCAACAATTCTTCTACCACTGTTTGTGCAATCAATGTTGTGGGAATATGTGTAGTGAGCCAATGCCTAGCAACAACAGAGTAGAATACACATACAGACACACAGACTGCAAGATGATCTCATTAGCATGCTCTTATTTATATATATGTGTGTGTGTGTGTGTGTGTGTGTGTACATATTCTTCCCCCAAAATAAGGAAAGTAGGCTAAAGATGTCATTCCGAGCTATTATCCATCCAATTATCAAAATTTAGGCAAATGCACACTATTCCATCCCTGCAAACATTCTGAAAACCTTATACAATAATGTGTCTACAACATCCATGTCTTAGATCACACAACAACCCCTTTCTGACTCACGCCCAGCAATTCGCAGGAACATGTATGTACTCGCATGTAAATGTTAGTTCAAGACACATGCACCAATATTGGAACAGTTACCATTTTTACATATAATTTTCATACATGTCTGCCTGTAAGCCATAAATAATAATAAAACTTGATGCAATAGCTATCTGAGAGAAACAAGCAACAATAAGCAATAAAGCTGAGATATGCAAAGTTTTTGGAGGATTCAGAATTAAGTGAAATTAATACTAACATGATTACAGTAAGGTGAATGATGTACCAGATGTGGGAAAGAAAATCACTGTCATAATCAAGAAAAAGATGGGACCATATCCTCCCACCCTCCAATTATTCACTGCTTACATAAGACTGTGGGGCAGATACTGTAAAATAATTAGTCAAACAAGAGTAATCTATAAAGCGTCGATTTTGTTCTTTTCATTTGTTTAAATTACAACACATTCATCTTTATATTTACCAGAGGCCTGGATATATTCTCTTGCTTCCAAGTAAATACACCCCAACCTCCCAACCCCAACCCCCTCCCCACACCACCCACCAGTTGGTCTATGTTAAGCACGTTCTACAAATTCAAAATTCTTTATGGTTCAATAACTCTATGGGTTTGCCTCAATGATACTACCATTGCTAGATCTCTTGCCTTCATGAGTCTTCCATTCTTGCTTCAAATAACAACATTCAAAACCAAGTTTTGGAAAATTACACCAAAAGATGGGTCAACTTTTCTTATCTGAAAAATGAATTTTCATATCATTATACCTACACTAAAAACTGTTTTTGTAAACCGATTCCAAAAAATGCTCTTAAGTGATAAAATGAGATATTGTGTTCATCTCAAATTAGGACATCAATGTACTATGTCTACATTCAACAAAGTCATCAGAAAACTTAATTTCTCTGGTAACATTCATGGCAAGCCAACCAGACACAGGGGAAAAAGTTACTAGTTCAATAGCTCAACCCCCTAATTAATTGTTCACATTTGTATTGCTGTTACTGTTATTATGAGTGTTACAACAAGCACCACCACAGCTGCTATAATTACCATTAACATATGAAGCACAATAATATTCACTGTATTCCAACGTAATTTAACATTAAAAACACTAAGAAACAGAAAAAGTAAAAAAAAAAAATCCATGCAAAGACACTGCACATATTTTCTGAAATCTGACTGACCTTGACTAGGCTACCCTGGAAACTAAATTAATTGCTGGTTATGGAATACAAAAGAAGAACGAAATATCTCCAACAAATAAAATCAGATTCAATAAAATCAACATTTCACATCTGGGCCCCAACTTTGCATACCATTATTTTCCTTAACATATAACCTATCCTGTTTTATTATGAAATCCATTTCCATAAATTACTGAAATCTTATCACAATTGTTGGAGCCACTTTCAAGAAAATCGTCACTTCATTTCTGGTGCCCGTCTGAAAAGACTCCATTTTTAAATGACAATGTTCATATTTGACAGACACTGACCTATGACAAACTCCGTAAATACCAAATACAAATATCATTTTTTAAGTTACTGGGCACTAAAAAAACACACATCCATCCATCCAGCCACTCACTTGCACATACACATACATAGTGGGCACATTCCAGACACAACTTTTTCTTATTCTGGATGAGGGTGTCAAAATGTGTAAGTCTGTCAGAGTCTAAAGACGGATTTTCCACCATTACAATACTTTCTCAAATATACTACTTGCACAGGAAATTAAAAACATGCCCAAAACAAACACCATACACTAATAAGAACTGAGACATCTCTAAGCAACACATACTTAGGCTTAGTTTCCTACTACTTACATGTACATTCATACCACAACAGCAACAAATTAAATATTTTAAATTCAAAATTATCACAAAAAAAAGTGAAAAAAATGTGTGGATATGTTCTGCCACAGCACAAAAATCATAACAAGAATGATGACAAAATGTTTTGAGAAATCTAAGACATTCACAGCATTGAAAACTTAGATTATGATCTCCTGGGTTATGACACCACATTGTGAAGACTTCTACTCTGAAGATGGAGGCAGCAAATTCCTCCAAAATTACATCAGTAATCACCTATAAAACTACAGGGTGTCATAACCCAGAAGACCACCATCTAAATGCCTGGAAACTTCCATGGCCTGTGAACCCTGTTTATTAAACATAACCCTAAACACTTCAAATTTCTTCATGTACACATAGTTTCCATCGTAATATACCGATGAAGAAGTTACACAATACAGTGCTTCATGCCAATATCAGGTTCACTTCTTCTATAAGTAATTATTGCCGGTCACGGTAGCCGAGCGGTCTAAGGCATGCACTGTCTTCACTTGCTCGGAAGCCAGGATCGTGGGTTCGAATCCCACTCAGGGCATGGATGTTTGTGTGTGTGCGTTTTTCTGTGTTTGTGTACAGGTAGAGGCCTTGCGACGAGCTGATCACTCGCCCAAGGAGTCCTACCGTATGTGTAAGATCTAGAAAAACCGAAGTGAACAGAGTTCATGGAGGTACGCNGGGGGTGGGTGGGGGGGGGGGGGGGGGGATAAGTAATTATAAAAGGTCACTTACCTTGTGTGTCAACACATTCTTCATCACTTGTCTCCACTTCTTCTTTCTTCTTCTTCTCCTCTTTTCTGCGCTCCTTCTTCTTGTTCTCTATTTTTCCCTCACTGAAAATGAAAATTAAACAACAATATTATTAATTCGCCATTATTTATGGATATTACCGACAGGCACAGAATGTATCAAGTGCCTCAAACACACACACACACACAATTACATACAATTTACTGTGTTGTTGTTCTCATCCTCATCAGCAGCTACCACCACCACCATAAGTGTAATTAATATTATTATCAAGTAGTAGTAGTAGCAACAGCAGCAGCAGCACTAGTACTAAGTAGCAGTAAATTATTTCATTACCAACGGTCATTATTTTATTCATTACAACTGTCTGCCATGTACACCAACCATTATTTAAAATATGAAGACATCAAGGCAAGAATTTTCACTCATTTACACTTGAACATTTAGTTTCATGGGCTGTGTAAATACATGCAGGGACGCAGCAATAACCTGAGAAGTGCTGAAATGCTTACCGCCTGAGCCGAACTGTTATGTTCTAACATCCAGAATCCAGATCCTATTCAGAAACATCCACACTATAACTTCAAAGTGGGATTCAAAAACCTGATTATACCTACCAAGTAATCTATCAATTGCTCCTTTTAGCTTAAAAGAATAATCCCTGATCTGTGTTTCAAAATATGATTTTAGTAAACAGTAATCTAATATACATGTAATGGTTAAAATAGTGTACACCACAATGTAGTACACAAAATAACCACTGGTTTTCTCCTGAAGTTTATTGGGTTTGCTTACATTGGGAATGAAATGTAAATCAATTAAAGTCTGTTTTTGTGCTCCATACACTCTAGCACAATTCAGCAAATGATTATACCCACAAAACAAATTTGGAAAATGCACAATTTAGTATTTCAATGATCTCATAGAGTAGTATGTATGACCAATTATCCCCTTTATCTGTCATATCTACAAGCATATTCACAAACAGTTCAAACTGAAAATAACACCCACAGACAAAATTTCTTCTCTGTGCAAACACCTGAAAATACAAATAAAGGCTTATAGTATCCCTGGCAAGGTGCTTTGGTACCTTTTGAAGGTACCAGTATTACACTCGAGAAATGCTAGTTTAAGGAATGTATGGAAAATTCCATTTATGGTCTTATGGAAATTAGGCCTTATTATGGAGTAATTTTTCTAAATTTCAGAATTATCTGACTTCTGGTGAAACTCCCTCTTATAAAATTTAAACAAAATTGTATATAAAGGTCTATTTATGGCATTGCAATAAGCTAGCCTTCATTTTGGATCAATATGGCTGAAAATTTGAACTACCTGACAACTTTTGTTGAGTCTCCCAAGTTGAATTTCAACTGTATCTGTGAAACTGTTTATGAAGTTCATGGAAAAATCCATTTGTGGCTTTACTATGGATGAATATGGCTGTAAATCAGAACTGCCTAGCACCTTTTAGTGAATTTTCCATATAAAATTATATGAATGAAAGTGCTTCCAATAGTTTAAACACTAATACAAGTTCACAGACATATAGACATGACATACATACTGTCACTTGTCGGCGAAGTTTAGTGCCAACTTTTGCAGACAGAGAGTGTCACATGGTCAGCGCAACGAACCCCCACAGCCGTTAATTTCGGTTTTCTAGACCAGAGCCACTATTTCCTTGAAATAGCTCCTCAATTATCATCACGAGGCTGAGTGGACCCCATTCCAGACCCACTACTTCTCAGAAAAAATCTGGTAGCGCCGGAAATCGAACCTGGGCCTCTGGATCTGTAGCAGGAAACGCTGACCACTAGACCACAGAGCACAACTTTATAACATTTTATCTCTAAATGTAACTTTCCTGTTTCTTTCCGAGTACTTCAGTTTCCCCTGCCAATCTTCATTCCACCAATTGCTCCACAATCACCCACACCTATCATCTGAGGCTGGTACAATAGGCCAGAAGTGGCCGCAGTACAAGGGACTTAGTCCCACCCCACTAGCATTAAAAGAAATCCTGTTTCTTCTGTTTCATACTTACTACCATGGACCCAGTAAAGAGCATTCAAGTTTATGAAATTTACTCTGCACACCTGCCAACATGCACAGCAGACACAACCATTAAACAATATACAAGTACTAAGGTACAGTTTTTACTATAGGATTCTGACGATGGTGTATAACACACACAGATATTGGGTTTTCGGACTTCATCCATCCTCCTGGTTTTTAAGATAACTAAGAAAAACACGACGTTTCATCCAGTGATTGAGGGTAGCTCTTTCTAAGGGACCCCAACAGAATAGGTGTTTTCCCTCACCTGAGGATGGAAACAGATCCGGTTTCCAAAACATCGTCCTGGTTTTTAAGATAACTAATCTTAAAAACCAGGATGATGGATAAGGTACAGTTTTGCACACCACTGCAATCATTATCAGTCTCTCTCTTTTCTTTTTTAAATCTACATGAGTGCCTTATACTCCTATACTTCTTAATTGAGTTCCGTTCCTTCTTTGAAGTGTTGGTTATTCTGCTTATTAGTATATGGAAGTCTGCTGATTAAAATCAATTATCTCTTGATGCTCATCAAAACCAAACAATTTATACAGAGTAAGAGCATTTCAAATTCAAAATACATGAAGTTGCATTCCAAACAATGCTCACCACAGCCTTTGGAAAAATTCCTAAATTCTGTAAACATACACGTAAAAATCTTTCTTGTTTTAGTATCTAGATCTCCTTTCCCCTTTTGAATCTGCTGTACAATTTGGCTGCTTAGCCAACTACAAACCAAACAATATTTGATGCTTCTTCCATAAAGTATAATTGAATGACTGAAATCTGTCAGTATTAATTAGCAAATATCCTACCAGATTCCCCGAATGAGCTCAATGGAAATTGCAGGGCAACAGTAATCATTAAATTGAAAATCCTGCAGACAAACATTTCCACTACAATAATTAATTTGTTCCAATACTGTTTGTTACCACCCTCTAAAAAAATGAATTCACATTAAAGTGATCAAGAAACCCACTGTGGAATATTGAATTAATTCCATCTATTCATAGCAAATCCATTAGTAAGATCATCTTTATGTCAAAAATGTAATACTTTTTGCATTCATTACAGCAATTCATAATTTACTGAATATGAAGCAGAGATTCACAGGCAGGGGGAGGTGGGGTTCATGTGATTTGCATAACAATTTACTTAATGTCCTCCCAACTGAACAATGTTTGATCATTCAAATGCAAACTTTAACCAATAAATGGATTGCTCTATCTGCTGACATGGCACTGCATTTCAGACTAATCATTTTCAAACTACTAAAACTGTATTACAATGTACTCTGTAATCATTCAGCACTGTGAGAGCAATTTACTGATCCACTACCACTTACTTACTGCATGCCAAACAATAAAAATGTAATAAACTAACAATTGCCAAGCAATCACCAACGCCATGACTATCAATGCCCACACTCCTGTTTCTCCTAACACAAGATTTTCTCCAAAGAAATATCCACGTGAAGGTTACGCCCACTTTGCTCCAATATCAAGTAATGAGACAAAAAAATGACAGCAAGAACTTCTTAATTTCACACAGATACTTCCATGAATCCCAGAAACATGGGAAAGGCATCACAGCTAGTTAAATCAACTCCTCTGCTAGTAGAATGCATTAAGAGCTCCTATAAAAGAGCATTTACTCTGTCACAGGTATCAAAAATGGTGTTTTCCTGTCTACATAATCATTCCTCATGTTCATGTTTTAATTATTTGGTGCCTCTTGTTGTCATTGTTCCGATGATTTTCATTTTGTGCATCCTGTTGTGTTATTATATACAATTCTTGATTATAGTCCGTCACAACACAACAATACAATGGTCAAAACTAAAATTAGCTTAGCTACATGTTTCGGCTATTAAAGCCATCAACAGGCAAACACATGATTACCAATATTCACACACTACTGAACTGCAATTGCGATGATGAAGCTGGATATGCAATAATTATTACATTATAAAATGCATGGTAAAAAATACAATGAACTATAAACTTATTATAAAAACGAAAGTTATGGCATAAAATAAGGTTAAAAACTCTTCATTTGATATTCCATATCTCATTTCATTTCATTTCATTTATTTCATGTCCATGGATCATTATACAGATATAAGACATGTCATTCTTGTGTAGTTATAGTATAATAAGTTTCATGATGTTACTATTGGGGGGGGCTGCATGTGAAGCATGCAGTGCAACGTGGAATTTGGGTACCAACTCAGCATTTGCTCTGGGACCAAGGAAAACCACGGAAAACCTTGATCGAATTGGACGGTCACAAGACCTCCCAGATACACTGGTTTCTAGCAGCACCACTCCCACCGCCTCGGCTCCATGAAGTCAGTTGTTGCAATTTGTTATATTCCTGCAGACATAATGACTTGTATATATGTAATAAACTTCTTGGAGGCCCGTGGTATAGATGTAGTGTAGTTCTGACATTAATCGTTTAGCCAGTGCCTCATATTACGATGTATTTTGTCCGTTCTGTGGGGAATATAGATTGCAACTCCCCACAGAACGGACAAAATAAGGTGAGGCACCGGCTAAACCATTAATGTCAAAACTACACTACATCTATACCATATATTATACTGTTGTGTTTTCACTGCCACAGGAACATGTTTACCGAGCCACTGCCTAGCGCAGAACGGAGGGACACACTTAACTGAGCAATTGCCTTGCAATGACAGGACGGATACACATACAGATATACAAGGGATTTATGAAATATGTTGCCAAGATGGGATAAGTTGCCACGATATACATACCAAGTTTCATGAAGATTGGTTGAGGTATTCAAATGTTATGGGGGGGGGGGGATACACAGACACGATGGAGATCACATGAGCCTACTTTAGGAGGCTAGTCTTAAAAGCACAGTACACTCCCAGTTTTCAGTATTCAAGCATCTGGATTTCTAATTCAACTGGCAAGAATTCTTAGGAAAATATAAAACATTTTAAGCTTACTTCAAAAACAATGTCATAACATGCATATGGTCACCCACA